TATATACATATACATGTGTGTATATATATATATACATATGTGTATATATATATATACATATGTGTATATGTATATATAGGACCTCTATTTATGTAAATACAATGATGAACGTATTGACTCGTGACAGAAATACTCATAAAAAAATACAGGCAGCCTCCACCTTCCCTCCCACACACACATACACACACACGGCTGGAGCCAGTTCTTTCTGAATGGAAGGCAGCCTAGTAGTAGTTAATCCCCTTGTATGCTCGCTCTTCCACAAAAAAAAATTAAATAAAATCAATCTAGACACCTTTCATGTCCAACGTTTGCTAATCTTCCTCCTCCACATTTATAAAGCTACGTTTGTGAAGGACACACAAATCTGATTGTCTGTTTTATTTTCAGGCATTACTGGGTTTTCTATGACAGCATGTTAGCCTTTTAATGCTTCCAAGATTTTTTTTTTTAAATCAGCTCAACTTATTCTTGATAATATGATAATCAGAGATTTTACCAGAATAGAAAATACGTCATGCTCCCTTATAAATGCTAAACAGGCTTCCTTCTGTACAGGACAGCTGCTGTTAAGACCGTGTATGGGTTGTCTTGACAGAAAAATTCAACTTGACAGCATGATCAGTGGGGGGAAATCAAAAAATAGACCCTAATGTGGCCTAACTGATGACTACATTGACTTAACAATCTCGGCTGTAGCTCAATCAGCAACAGCTATTTAGAACAGCCAAAGAGAAATAAAAGAGGGGGAGTGAGGAATGTTTTTGTGAGGAGTGGGGGCGCAGGAGAAAAGAGACGTTCAAGCGCAATGGGCATTTGAAGGACAGAAGTGGATTCTTGGTAGCTCTGTTGGGTTTCTGGGGATTTGTGCTTGGACTCCAGTAAGCGATAAAAGTGAGATGACTGGAGGAAGAAAAAAAAAGAGTGGAAGCTCCAAAGTATTTGAACTTTTCCCCTCTGTAAGTGTGTGCATGCGTGGCATATGGCAGTAATTTCCATGAAGTTTCACCCACGGACAGTAAAACTGTCTTGCATCTTCCATTATGTGTCACAAAGAGGCGTGAGAAAAATGGGATAAAGGCGTAAGACATGCATAACCTTGGGAGGACCGGGCCATGCTGGAACAGTGGAAGAGCTCTGCTGGTGACAGGCAAAGCCAGGCAGCAGCTGATGCATGCAGGTCACAGGAAGGCTGAGCTGCATGAGCACCACTCCCACTAGGAACTATGTACAGTGTTGACCCAAGGATACTTCCATGCCTCCTTTTTTTTTACCTCCCTCACACACATAGACAAACACAGATCTAAGACTATGTGAGGCCATAAACCAGCAGCACTCTGATTCAGTGCCCTGCAGATGACTTCAATCCAATGCAAATGTATTCTTCTTTGAACCCAGGAACAGACGCTCAAACCATCAGGCCCTTGTTGTTTTGGACTCATCCAGCCATCTGAGGCTGAAATCCTCCTTTTTTTTATAATCATTTTTTTGTCCCTCTCCTCAGGGAAACATGCCATTTCCAGCTTGCAGCATGCTACGATGCCAGGCACCCCCAAGCACATCATCTTTGTGACTCAGCCGGCTCTGGGTGTGCATATCTCCCTGTTTGTGTGCGCGCGCATGAAGGGCCGGTGCAGCAGGGCTTCAACACCCACGTTCTGCTGCGAGAACCCAGCGCCACCTGTCGCTCAGTCTGGCACAGTCCCTGCCATCCACAGCCCCTGCCATCCACACGTCATCTGTGGGCACGAGCCTCTAAGGCTCCTCCAGGCGCTCCTGAATCTCACGTACAGCCTCATAGCACATTTGATCGTGAATACCATATCACAGAAACACAGTGATGGCCCCATATATGCGATCTAGCAGATGTATGTATGAAAGATTATGCTGGCTCAATATGGGGGAACAAAAACATATGAAAAAACAGTATCGAAGTGTGTGTGTGTGTGGTGGGGGGGCACATTTCTTCTTTCTTTTTTATTTAAACACTGAAAATGAATGATATGAATTGAAAAACTTGGTAAACTTGCAAGGGCATTTGTAATTTGGACTCTTTTTTTCTGTGAATTGAGTGCCACCTGCTGGCAAAATTCACTAAGTGAATATTACACTTCTGGGGCATCAGTTATGATGTGTCAGAATTTAGCAAAAAGGAAAAATTAGAAACAACTCAAACATATAATTTAACCTACAGATGACATCACAAATACACACACTTAAAGTCACTGTAATATTATGTATCTTTTATTACATTACACTGATCAATGGTGATACTTAAAAATTGTGCCGGGGGCATTTATTCAGAAGCTGCGTTTAAGAGACAGGATTAATGAGCACAGTTTTATACAGTTGTGACATGACATGAGACACTGACATAACACAGCGATGCCACTATTAAAAACAGATTCTTCAAAATAATCATTCGTGATGTTTCAGTAACCATTTTATTAGGTACACCTGTTTATCCATCCATTAATATTTCCATGATATCTTTAGGGTCACGAGGTGTAACACAGAGCATCGAACCCCTCCAGCCGAACCTCCTGAACCACAGCTGCCCTCTGAGGCTGTTCACTCAATTCAGTTCCCCCCTTTGTTTTTTTAAACCATGTCCTTGTTTTGACCATGTCAGAGGGGTTTGATTTCATCAGTGTTGCACCAGATTGCAGCATACCACGAGGCCTTTAATGTATTCATACCTGTTTCTAAGCTTACAAACCTATAAGTCTGTTTAATGTGCTCATTAGTCATGCAGGCTCAGAGTCCAGGACTATAGCTGGGAAACGTTCCCCTCCTTCACCCAGCAGGGAGTACATGTCTCTGAGTACACTGGGGCTCAGACATTCAGGCCCAGGTACGACAGCCGAAAACTGAGGGGACAGGGTGTCCAACAGAGCCTGTGGGACAGCAGAAAAGACTGTCAGCCAGTTACTGGCTTCTACTAAAAAAGAACACGCAGGTATGTAAAACTCACGAGGTGCTTTCAGAACATATCACCTACCTGTTCAAGATCAACCTCTTGTTGCAGCAATGCCACCCTCATCCGCAGCTGCTCAAGCTCTTGCAGCTCTGCCTCTGTTGCATATGTTATAGTCAGGGGCAGGGGTGAAGTTATCCCATCTCCCTGCACACCATTTGCCCCAGTGGGGCAAAAACAACCTCCCTCTGGCCTCCATCGATCCCATGCTTTCCACTCTGACGGAAAAAAAGGTTATTTTTAGAGCGCGAGCAACCATACCCCTAAAACTTTTTTTCTTTCTGCTCTGTTGCCTCAGCTTTAAATAGCTAGGCCCTTGCTTAGTGGCATCAGGACAGACAGCTTCAAAACCCCATCGTCATGGGGACGAGGGGGTGAGGGGGGGGTCTGTTGAGGCCAAGGAAAGGACTGAGCTGGCGCTGAGGGTTCACGGCAGCTCTGCTTTCATTTTCCATACGCCAAGATGGAGAGGCTCCATTAGCTCGTTAGCACGCTGCACTCACCATAATCATTTTCTAAATGCTGTTAAAAAGCAATAAAAGATAATTCCCTCCCTGGATATTACAACACAGTGAAATAAAAATACTAACGTGAGATGCTAGATTGGATGACACCAGACGTGTGGACCTATTCATTACTGGAAACTTCTCTGACACACTGGATTTAGTTGCTACTTGTGCTACATTGGTGCTTTAACGAGTAAACATCAATAAATCTTTGTGAAGGTGTGAATGGAAAATCTCTCGTCATTCAGGTTCTTTATAACTGCATCAGTGGAGGAAATGGAAATGCTGCTGTGCTGCATATTGTAGGTACAGACTCAAACTGGGATGCCCATAGACGATGACCCACATGGAAAAGAAATAGCAAAATGTATGTAACACAAAGATTTACTCATTCTTTTCCATACTAGAATTCACACAGCTGGTTAAACAGAGCCAAAATGTCATGATGTCTCCACCAGCATCTCCTTTAGGAAAGTCAGCGCAAAGGAATAAATATTTTTGATAAGGTGTCTTCCAGCTAATGACCACCTGTCTACAAACAAAGATCAATGATCTGCAATTAATGCTGGAGAAACAATTATTTTACAGAAAGGTTTAGGATGTTTATTATGCTGCGTACAAACAGGATTCTTACCTTGTTTCACTTGATCTGCAAAATTCTTGAGCTCAGCTGCTGTGAGCTGCAACCTTTCCAGCGACATACAGGAATCATACTTGTCGCCTGTACTAACTGTAAGAAAGCACATTAAAAAAGAGTTATAATAGAAGCTTACTGAGAAGCAAGTGGAGTTGCATTAAAAGTGTGTTTACTGTCACTCTTAGCGCATAAGAGTTGTTACAATTATAGAAAAACGTCAACTTCCTGATGGTTCCTGGCAAAGGAAAGTCTTGATTTGTATATACTGTGCATCAGTCGAAATAGCTCGCACAGTCACTTCCTGCCAACTCCCACATTGTTATTTTGTCACCCACCGACTTATGGAATCAGTCTGTTTCATTTCTCCCGAATTCACATAAAAGCTTCTCTATTACCCAGTCTTAATGTTATCTCTGGCATCTGTTTGGTTAGAGGCTCCCCGCAGAGCTGTTTCAAGTCTTGAGCTTGTTGAATCAACCTGTCCAGCAGAGCCCTGGTCTCATACGGGCTGCCAAATGGCCAATTCCTGGGAAACTAAACAAAGCAAAGGAAAAATGGTGTACAATGAAACACAGGGGTTGTTTAGAGAAATTAATGTGTATTAGCTAGAATTTCTCATTAATACACTTGGCCGATTTTCTAAATTAGAGCATAAATTCCAGTTTCACATGATATCATGGCTGACCCCAGCTGATCCATTTTACCGTAGCTCTCATTCTCTCCATGAAGTGACTCCTCCCAGGCCCAGGGTTCGTCTGTAGGGCAACGGCTTTATCCCACAGTCTGAAGATAATGTACAGAAGGAAACTTTGTGAATAAAGGAAAAATGTACAAAGAGGAATTTTGTTTTTCTATTTTTTGCATTACAACGCATTGTAGGCACCTGCTCTGCTTGCTCTTTAAAGATTTCCATTTTGTTGTTTGCTCAGAAGATATCCTGCTGCAAAGTCAAACAGAATGATTATAATATTACAGAACATGTTTTTTTGGGTTTTTTTTTTTTTTTTACAAAGCATGGTTATTTTCATAGTGTAATTCTAAAAAAACATGCCCATTCTGCTGAGGCAAACTGCATGCTCCTGGCTCATTTGTTTGTGAAGAGGACACTACGTTATTTGAAGAATTTGCAGCGACAGGCGCAGCTTTCCTCAGGTCATCACCACTCGACATATTGCTTCTGATAGTCTTGTTTTTAGAGAGCAAGCTTGCGATGTGATCAGGAGAGACAGACGGCACGACAGCCTGCTGCAGTTTCCTAGAAGCCTGGTGATGCAAAGCGCCAGCTGATGAGGCAGGATGGTTTTGGATCGTGTTTCTATTATCTGTTCTTTTGGTCTGTCCAGGGTCGGCGCTAGTTAAAGGTCCCGAGGATAGTGAGGAGCATACTGATAATCCAGGCCGTCCGTACCCTTTTCTGTCAAGGCTGGCAGATTTAGTGGATGACCTTATCGTTCTTTGGCTTCCCCTAGATGCTGCAGATGTGATATCCACAGGCCTAGCACCTAAAGTCCCTGTTTCCTTTCCAGGTTTGGGTATTTTTGATTCTTTTTTAGAAGGTTCTGAGCTGGTGCGCACACGGAGGGCTTTCTCTAGAGCCTTCTCAAGCAGTTCTATGTCTTCCTTATCACATGGGGAGACACCTGTTTATGAAAATAGCAACATGCAAACATGTGGTTACTACTTGGCAAGAGAAAAGAAATGTAAATAAACAAATAGGCTATTTTTTTTTAACTATCAGCATCTTAACAGACAAATAAAAGCTATTTTTTTTAACTACCTGTAGGAGCAGCACCTGCCAATTCTGTTTCCTGAAAGCTCACCTCGGGTTGGGGTGTTCTGTGGGAAAATACTTAATGTGAACACACACTAAAATAAAAATAAAAGTTTTAAAGTCTTTAAACATTCCAGGACAAAATTGATGTGACACAACAGATGAGCATCAGCCACTGCCGTTTTTAAATGTCATCTCATTTGCAGAAAGGCTGCTGGCAGTCAGAATGGATGCTTCATTCATACAGTATATTCCATTGGTGATCTCTGGCAGACATAACTGCTTAATGATGAAACACACAGTGTATCTAGGTATGTGAAACTCTCAGAATCTAGTGTAATAGTGCACAAAATTAAAGATGTTTTATGTCAAATATGACTTTATATTATTCACTTATTTTCCATATGTCTTACTGGCTTTAGGTGTAGGGAAACCCATATGGAAAAGAAATAGGAAAAACTTGCATCAGCTTTAGCTTGCTTCATATAGTAAATCATATAAGGCTTATATGATTTACTCATGAAAGTGGCCACTTTCTCATTACTTTCATATTCTTTTTTACGAAGTATCCAAAACATACAAGTTCCATTTATATAATTTTTCAAGGGATCTTATATTTGTTTTCACTCTTGTATGCTTTTCAAACAAGTTTCACACAAGACAGATACAAACTTTATAAGATTTATATATATCTTTTCCATATGGGAATATTAACATTCATTACACAAAAAAGGCATACAAATGATAACAAACCATATTGCGAGTCAACAAAGCCATTATTTAGTCAGTACATTATGATATAATTCAAAGCAAACAATCAACAATTACCGCTTGATATCCAGATGCTGTTTAAAATGAAAGCTGACATACACAGATTAAGATTAAATGATATTTTTGAAAAACAAAAGATTAGGACCAGTATAAAATGTTGTGTAGCTGTTATGGGGATATTTTTAAAAATATATAAATTAAGATGTGACACTCACTGAAACCATTGTACAGAAATAGCATAGTTATCCTGTATTGTCATAAAGGTTTAGTGCGGAGATGCTTCAGATGCTTACAGCTCATCTGTAGATGGAATTGACATAAATTGTTTATTGTTTCTTATTTCTTATCTCATTACTTAATATTTATTTTGTTGTTATTCTGAATGAAATGAGTTTAAATATGTAGTTGATTTGATATGCGTTGTTGTATCAGGGGCAGGTGTCATATAAGCTCATTTACAACAGTAAATAAGTCATGAACTCATTTAGTGTTCTTGAATAGTGCAACAAAACTAAAGAAAAATCAACCAACACACATTTTGAGATATTGCAGAGTAGCTATTACACACACACAGCCGTCTCGTGTAGCAAAAGGCACTGCTGGGATTCGAACCCAGGATCTCCTGTTTACTAGACAGGCGCTTTAACCAACTAAGCCACAGCGCCGGATGGTTAACCACATCTGTATATAGCCTACGTATAGAGTCACTCAACTACCGAAGGGTTCCACTACAGCTTACTACAAGTGGCACACAAACACCACAATACTTTGGACCTATGTAACTTAAGAGGATTTTTCATAAATGTTTATAGAGAGTCAAAAATCCAGGATACAAACTTCAGACATCGCAGAAAGTGGATTTGTTTTTAAATTTGTTATAAGAAAAGAAAAGCTGGGGGGGGGGAAGTCAAGCGTGTACTTACAGGCTCTTTAATAATTCTCTGTAGAGTTGAATGCGGTGATTAACCTTAGCTTGTTCCACTTTGCATGACCTGACAGCGTCCTCGACTGCGCACAGCAGCGACATGATCGTGTCTGGATGGCGGTGGTGACCTTCTCTGCCACGACAACACGAAAAACAAAACGCTCACGTGCTTGTTTAACACTGATTAATGACTTATTAGAAACAGTAAGACTTGGTTAAAAAGTGCAGAATACGTCGTTGTTAGATCCTCTTTATAATGAAAGCTTTTTTGTACAGACCCGCGAAACGCTCGAACCCGACGGATGCGGAAGTCACATTTCTCCCCCTCTGACTAAAGAAGGTCACCGATTAGTAAATATTCAGTAGGTAATCAATGCGATGAAACCTAAGTGACTTTAGGTGAATAGCTAAAGTTTTTTTATATATAAAACTGTCAGGCAGAAAAACAAACTTTGAGCATTCGTAGAAACAACGGACTCACTACTTCTCGCGAGAAGTGTGATGGTTACCAGGGACACTGTTGTCATCTATACTGCCTATTAGATTATTGAATTCTTTATTACCACGTTTCTATTCAACAGTACTCACCCAGTCTTAATTTCTCATTTGGTACTCATACAGTTGACTCATAAACATGTCATAATATATGAAAGTTGCAAAAATTAAGAACACTGCTGATTATTTTTGATAACCACAACCATTAAAAGTTCCAGTAACATTCCCAAGTAACCTGCTTACACTTACAGCTGTCAGTGAGTGAGCCTCATGAGAAATGTCTGGAAAGCAGGTGTAAACAGAGGAAGATTATGAGTAACTCTTGGATAATTTGCTGCTTATGAAGTAAAAATACACACATGAGCCCTCAGAACTGAGACATTAAGCACAATCAGATGTTGTTGGAGCCAATAATTCCTCCCATAAAACCTTTATCAAGCTTTGGTGGATTTCATTTATATTTACCAGGTTTGCAGTATTGCGCGTTCTGTTGTAAGGGCATGAATGTCATTACTTGTTTAATTTTTTGTTAGTCTATACAATCTTTTGCCACTTTATTAGGTAGAAATATTCAACTGGTTGTTGTATCAGTGGATGCTTGTGGTGGTGGTTTAATGCTGTGGGACTCACTGAAAGTCTCATTAAAAATCTCTTTCAAGAGAGTCATGGCCAAGAGTGTGATTAGAAATGAGAACATAACACAAAACAATTTAATAAGTAAGTAAAGAAAGAAATGAAACTGACATTCGGTACAAGTGAACACAAATATGTGAGTCATATGCAATAACACATCAAGAGCAACATCAAAAACAGTCACACTGAAAAAAGAGCTACTTTCTCACTCCTTTTAAATGGACTTAAACTCCCCCACTGTAACCAGTTCCGGAAATTTCAGGTCCAAGTGAAGATTATTCCAAACATTATTCTGCTCTGACTCTGGGGGCAAACATTTAAAATATTGTGAGAACATATACTGTACTGCTTGTATTTTTTGCACACATAAATATTCACAAATAACAAGGCATTAGCCCAAGCAAAAAGTTATATACAAAAACCAACTAATGAAGAAGTCTCCAGACGTACAGAGATACCTACTTAGCACCAGTATACAGAGAACTTTGATGTGCCAGATTTCCATGGCCTGCAGTAAAACATACAGCACAATGGTAGATGGTATCCAACCTCTTTAGGTAGTGGCCACATAAATTCATAAAGAGAAGATTGCCGTACTCCAATAAAGGAACAAAAACGTTGCATATAGCAAGTGTTTCCTCAAGTGGAGTGACAAACATTTAAAGATGTGACCTTTAAATGATAAATTCTGACCTATAATGATGCCTAAATATTTTTGTGGCCATTTCAATTTCAGCTCCTTCAGTGGTTTTGATTTCAGGAAGTCTGAGCCCTTTAGTACCAACTGAACCTAAGTATTATTTCTGTGGCATCCATTTATGGCCGCCATCCTCTGATGGTTGCTTCCAGCAGGATAATGCACCAAGTAATAAAGCTCGAATCATCTCAAGCTGGTTTGTTGACCATGACAGGGAGGTCATTGTCTTAAAAAGCTATCCACGGTCACCAAATCTTAGTCCAATAGGGCACCTTTGGGATGCGGTTCTATTCACATCACAGATGGGCAGCCAATCAAACTGCAGCAATCTGATGCTATCATGTCAACATAAACAAAAATCTCTGTGGAATGTTTCCAGCACCATGATGAATCTATGACTCAATGAATTAAAGTATAATTAAGGTTCTTAAGGCTAAAAGAGGGTCTAACCTGGTACTAGCAAGATGTACCTAGTGAAGGGGCTGGTGAGCATATATCTGCTGCACCAATACAATATCCGCAGCAACAGAAAAATGAAGAGAAACTTCCAGGAATAGACACTACCTTAAATTCATTTATTCCCCTTGTTTGACAGTTATTGTTGCCACTTTACCAATTAGACTGAGGAAACTCAGTGAATTTAATTGAACTTTAAAAAGATGCTCATTAGTTGGTAAGTCAAACTTTTTAATAGAGGTCCTAATGAGTGAAAGGAATGGGCTTTTTCTTTTGATTTGATTGACATGTCTTCTTGGCACCGCATTGTTTTTCTTGCTTTTAAAAGCCTACGCTTGATGTTCCCAGCATGACATTTCACTTTCCGATTAAGTCATGCTCATTTAAATCCCAATAGTTGTGTTATTCTTTTTCTATACTGATCCCAAATTAAGGGGCTTCACACTTCTCTTCATTAACAGGCAGTTTGCCTCGTTAATGCAGGGAAGGAACTAAGAAACCTAATGATAACTGACAAAGTACGTCCTCATCAAAGAAGGCCATTTTTACTTATTTTTCCCCCACTTATGTCATTGACATGTGAAGCAATGCAGATGTAATGTTTAATTTTTCTGTATTGTTGCCATTTTTAGGACAAACTTAATAAGTTTTTTAATGTGTGGCAGCCATTTTTAGATCATGCATTAAAACAAATTCCTCTTTGATCGATAATTCAGTCTACCACCCTAGCATTTCATTTTTGTATCTTGCCAGTGTTGAAGTAGGATCTTTGTTGATGCAGTGTGATTTTTTGCCTTATGTTTTTTTTTTTGCCCTTGCTGTTGTGTTGTCTGTTTTGTTTTGTTTTCTTTATATCAAAAATCTTAATAAGCATATTTAAAAAATAAAAAATAAATAAAAAATAAAAATCAGATCCCAGCAGGTACCATGTCAGATAGTGGTAGGGTAAAATGGACTGTGTGCTATATCTCAACCACAAAGGGAATGCACAGGAGGGCAGAGTAGCAAACAAAACTAAGTAGCCGTGAAACAGACTGACAGACTTATGCTGGGCTTACACTGTGCGATTCATCGTGCGTCGTGCATCGTGTAGTATACGTGGGGTAACGAGATGCGATTAACACCTCACGACCAGCTCCCGATCATCAATCGCTTGGTCGTGAGGTTTGAAATCCTCGCGACCGTCGTGAGGGTGTCACCGCAGTTTCTCACACTGCGCACGCGCAAACACAAATGTCAGCGAAAAAGACGGCGCAGCACGGCAGTGCAGCGTGTGATCTGGACACAAGCGATGGAGGCACAACTTGTAGAACTATGGAAAGCTCATCCGAGCCTTTTCGATGTGGCCTCACAAAATTATCACGACCACAACAACCGTGAAAATAGTTGGATTTACACTGCTGCTCAATCACAGCTGCCTGATCAATGTTTTTCATTAGCAATTTAGCAAAGTTGATGGTGGTGGTGTGCGTGTCTGTGTGAGTTAAAGACAGAGAGGGAGAACGAGCGACAGAATTGCTGTTATAACCTTCATACGCACAGTGTGAGCACTCAGGTCGCATCAGAGCATCGGGCCGTATAGTGTGAGACCCTGCATCGTGACCTATGAACTTCTAACCCCTGCGAGTCAATCGTAAGGTTTGAGCAGGAGCTGAATCGCGCGACTGAAAAAAATCGCACAGTGTCTGCCCAGCATTATCCAGTTAAAACAGCTGTCAGTATAAAGAAATGTTATGTTTTGTGTGGAAAAATCAGCTTTAAAGCTAACATTTCTTCTTTTAAACCGATCCCCCCCTCCGCTCTGAACGGTATCAGTAGCTCAAAAGCACTTCCCAAAGCAATTTCATCTAATGGCAACAGCTTTGTGGCCCCATTGCAGGGAAGTGAATCATCTTGTTATCCTCCCCACCAGGCTCCTGTGGCTCAGCAGCAGAATGAGGGGGAGAGGCACTCAACTGCCCCCCTGCCAGCCACACATCTGACAATGCAGCCGGCTTGCCAGACTAATATTAGGCTCTGACAATCACATTTGCACAAAAGCACACACACACACACACATACGTGCCCTCACAGCTACAACATGCAAGTGGGCTTTTAGCCCTTTACTAATGGATCAATCTGCCAGGCAACATTAACAGCCACTTTGTACATATGCATAATGAGTATACACGAAACATCTATGCACAAAAACACCCAAAACGTCATTATCACACTTGGATCTGTTACTGACTGGCATGATCCAGTCAGTCACAGATTGAAGAGGGGGAAGAGGGTGAGGCCCTCATGTTAAAGTTCATCTATGGAACAAATGTGTTTGGGACAAGCTGTTGTACCCTTACAGAAAACCATTATGATTTTCCCAGTGTATGAGGCCAGTGTTTTATTTAAAAGCCTTGAATTCATAGGTGCATCACCTGAAGCGCCAACAAGAAAGAACATTGAATTGTTCCCACGTCAGATTAGTGGATATTGTGCAGCAAGTCCTGTGAAACTAGAGAACAGCTTGGTTAAAATGGGCACATCACTGAACACCAGCTGATGAGATGATTTAAAAACACTGCCATAAACAATGCCATTACAAGGATAATTGCTGTCAAACCCAGTGATGGTTTTATCAGATTATGTAACTTGCAATTACTTCATTATGGCCTGATAGAGAGCTACAGATGGTTTTACTAAAATCACGTCCTGATTTGCAACTGGTGCTGCAATTTAAAATGTATTAAAATGAGCATCCATTAAAACTTGATGGACTACTTTATCTTTTATTATTCCCAAAGGAACAGTAACAGCAGTAATTGTTGACAAACCATTGCATTTATTTGGTATGAAGGCCATCTTGTGGTTATTCTCTTGTAGCCTTTTGATTTGGTCTTGGTTTTCTCTCTAGGTTCCAATTTCTGTAATTTAGGACTTGTGATGTGTCACATACTATATCTAGCTGTAGAGAAGATGATCCCTAATGTGAAAT